GCAAGTTTGACAGGTGTCGAGTTTTTATATTTCGATTCCGAATACAACTTCTTTAAAGTTTAGAACGAGGTTGTAGCCTTGATCTTCACCTTCCGTGGCCATGTTGTGGGGGCTCCGACCGTGCATCCCACCGCCCATGCCGCCCAAGTCGAATAGTGATTCGAAGATATCAAATGGGTTACTGAAATCTTGGTTGGATTTGATTAATTTTGGGAAATTTTTAGAAGGCAACGACTGTGATGTGAAAACTTTATTGATTTTTTTGATGGATTGAACTTACTCTGTTACCCATGTCGCCGACACCTTTGAGTACGGCCTCTCTGTACCGGCATCGTTTATCATCGTCTCAGAAAACATGCATTGAGAAGAAGGAGAATTTTGTCATTTACTATAGGTGTGAGATTTAAAAAAAAATGATGGATTTTACTACTTTTAGGACCAACTACCAATAAATTTTTAATCATAGGCGTCATTTGTGTAATTTAAAACAACTGGCTAACAGAGGAATGGTTAAAACTAACGATAATAGTTTAATTGACATGTATAGTAAAAATTAGATAACCTATTGTGCAAAAAAAAAGTAACATAAATGATCAAATCACACCAAACTCAAAACTTCATTGTGTTACGGTGTCATTATCCTTATTAAAAATAAACAATTACTAACAACTCTTATTTAACCCTTCCCACTCAACACGACAACATGCTTGAAGGTAAAAAAATTTCTTACCCTCTATCCCGACTCCCGGAATTTTTCCAGTTTATAACTGGTTTTAGAAAAAAAAACAAATATCGGTTTATCCGTTTTCTTAAACGAACAAAAAGTGGGTCAAATAAGCCATTCTGGAAACGCGCCAAATATGGTTTGGAAACAGCTTATCGGCGGCTTTGTTTGGAAACGCCCACTACCTTTCAAACGCGCGTATTAAAATTTAAAATTAGTAAATAAAAATGTCAAATCAAGAGATTCCGAGTTAAACAACTTTGAACCTTTGGATAATATATGCATATATATAGATCTAGATTAAATCACCTTGTACAATTATTTCCAATGAATGCAATGGATAATAAGTGTTGACATCTGAACTGACCCCTTTTTAAGAGTTTATTTATTTCACTTGCACATGTTAAACGTCCGTGGCTCCTCCTTAATTAAGTTTCATGTTATAATAGGATTAATTTTAGTAATAATGACATAAAAACGCTTGAGTTTAACAAAAATATACAGATTTATTGTTTTGTGGATTTTAGGTTCATTAATAGCGGCTTGCAACTTTTTTTTTTGAGAAATTAAATAGTCTCCTACTTTTTGTTCCTAATATTCTCTTACCTATTTTAGATGATGACAAGTGTCATTAAATTTAATTTAAATTTGATTGAGATTTGAAATTTGTACAGTTGTTATCATCTTAAATAGGTTGGAAGAAAAGTATGAACAAAAGGTAGGATGATATTTAATTTTTTTTTTCTTCTTCTAGTTTCACCCTTTTGTTTATTTCTTTTCCATTAAAACTTTTATGTTTGACAAAAATGTTCGTTTTTTTTGCTGGTTCATAAAACCCCTTAAATTTGACAGAAATGTTCGGTTTTACCGAGTAAATCTACAAAAAATGTAAAATTGAAAAAATTGCAAGTATTCTGTATTAATGAACCTAAAATCCACAAAAGGGTAAATCCGTACTATTTTGTATATTTATCTCATCTCAAGTCTTTCATTTAGAAGTTAAATTCATGCATTTTACACGTTTGCGGTTATTTTTAATCTATCGGTTGAACGTTTTTTTATTTGTACATTTTATGGTGGATTTCAGGTGTATTTGAAGATTATGATGCACTTTGGAGATGTTAAGGAAGCTTGGGACGAAATTTGGAAGCAAACAGAGCGGAAATGAAGAAATTGGAAAAATCAAGAACCCAAAATAGTGCATTTCACACAGGACATGTGAAATGCCTTAAAAAGTGCACACGAGGCATATTGACTAAGCTGCGAGGAGTTGACTTTGCTACACACAGGGTGTGCAGATTCAGTACAAATCCACACGGGGAGTGTGAAATCAAAAGAGACCAAATTTAGCATTCTACGTTTGAAGACTTTCCGATTATGGCAAGCCACTTTCACTTCACACGGGGCGTGTGGAATCAGTGTAATTCCACACGTCCCGATCATCTACTTCAGGATTTTTAAGGATATTTACATATATATCTCATATCAGGCGACTTGGAGGCGTTTTTTTACCGATTTTGTGGTGAATCATTAGGAATCCCTTCTATTTTTGATTTTGTAGTACAATTGTGTTTATGCATTTAATCACACGACTTGATGTTTTGTTCATGATTCTATCTAGCAATGTAGTTTTGTTTTAACCTAATGTTTGATTTAATCTTGGTTCATGTTGGCCACTCGAATTAGGTTTATTTCATTCCTGTTATTCAATTTATCAAACCCGTAAGTGTTTTATGAAATGAAATTAAAGTACACACATCAAATTGGTTCTATGATGGGATTAACTTTGGTGTAAACTATAATTGCATATTTTTATGCTTCCGAACTTATGAGAAGTATCGAACATTGTTGGGAACATTCGTATAAATCTTAATGCGGGTTTTCAATATAATTCTAAGAGTTTGTTTAGATTAGGTTAGTAAAACTAGATTTAGTTCAAAAAACTTATTTGATCAAACACTTTGGTGAATGGAAACTGCTAGAGCTTGTTAGTGTTTTTAAGTACCAACTTAGATAGACTGTGAGTTAACTTCATTTCGTGATTGAATTGCATAACACATCGTACACTATGAAACCAAAACTCTATTATTATTAAGTTTCAAACATTTTATTGCATTTGTTTATTGCTTATTTATGCAAATTCTAACAAATCCCCCAACTTGCGACTCGAATACCTTACTCAAATAAGTATAATCATCTGTTCTGTGTCTTTATAGATTGACCATGCTTGCCTTGTACTAATTTTTAGTGCAAATTAACAATGTTTTTGGAGAATATTTTGTACCCCCTTATTTGTTGGGTTTGACACCCTAACAACCACCGCACCTGGAAAAAAAAACTCATCGCACCATTAAATATGTTTTGTACTAATGAAGGGATGAACCGATAAAAAATAACATAATAATGATACAACATCATATACGACATATGTTGTCATATTGTAGGGCATCGTGTTGAAGGTCCATATGGATTTTTTAATTTCATTTTTTTAAAGTTAAAATTGTTCATTGCAACTTAGGTTTATATGGGTTACATCTAGAAAAATTTGTGTTCATTGAGATTACTATCAAGATTTCATCGATATGAACAACCAGGAATGATATCATGGTGTTTTGCATTTTTGAGTTTGTCCGATTAGGATTACGATTCTTGTGTTTATCAAGATTATGGTTTTTTTATTGGGTTTTATGACTTTTATCTACTCCAACAACAATGAATATGTTTCAAGCTCATGATTAAAGAACAACAACATTTTCCATGCCAATCCTATATCATTAATTTTACCGGTATACATAATTGTTCAACATAGTAAGATTGACATAAAAAAGTTCCAATCAATTGAATCCACTTATATATAAGAACGATGACCGTTTGTTAACAATCATATTAACCTTATAATTATCTTATCTAACACCCATAATAAGATTGAATTAAATTCTTATTTAAAAAATGGATCCTCAACCACCCAATGCAGCTCCCTATTTTGGCAAGGATAGCGGGTGAGGGCTCACACTTTGAACAATATGATAAGACGACACCAAAGTAAGTCACATACCTTCTACCGAATAACTCCTAATCAAATTCTCATTGTATCACTTACTTACATACAATACAGTAGTTGTTTATATCGACCATATTATTTTGACTTTATTATTATAAAATTTAACATATTGAGAATTAAAGTATTCACAATGTATAATTTAATAAAAGAATTAAATTAGATAAAATGCATAGTTGATATTACGCCATTTTGAAATTCAATGGATATGAAGTTAAATGATTATTAAAATAAGAAAAAAAAAACTTTTTAATTCTTAAATAACTTTCATAAATTAAGTTTTACAAATATAATACAAAACTATATGAAATTTACAATGTTTTAAAAACCGGTTTGAACCGGTCGGTCGAACCGGTTGGACCGGAAATTGGGGAATGAAAAGTTCAACTATCACCGGTTTTATGCGACCGGTTCAAACCGGTTGGACTGGAAATCGGGGAATGCACGGTTCAACTATCACAAATTTCATGCCTATTACTGAACCGGACCCAATGGGCCGGTTTTTACAAAAAACCTGATTAAACCAGTTAAATTGAAAAAAAACACATGTAATTAAAACAAAACATTTTGCATAATAAATTTTGGTAGTCTTTTCATATTTATTTAGATTTTTCTGACTAAAAACACATAGTAAATGTTATAAAGTTTTTTGATGTGTTTGTATTCTTCTAAAACTATAATTTTTTCGGTATACATTTTTTTTTTTTTGATGAATATGAATTGATGTAAAATTTATGGTTATATGTTATTTTAATGTATTTGGATTGATCCACACCTTGTTTTTATGTGTACATTTAATGTTTAAACGTGTGGACGTCAAATTTTTGATTTATGTATGTATGTATATGTGTGTAGAAAAATTAATTTTTTTTTATAGAAATTGGTTGAATCGAAAACCGGTAATCATACCGGTTCAACTAAAAACCGGTTTTTAAAACATTGAAAATTTAAAATAATAAATCGACCTTTTAAGTCACGAATTCAAAAATATTAATCTATATTAATAAATCGACCTTTTAAGTCAAACGTTCACCCATTACACTTTATAAAACCTATTAAATGTTATTTGGTACACATTATTTTATTACCAAAAACAAATAAAAACACATTAAAAACAAAAATAAATAAGTAGACACTTTTGTTGACTATTCTTTTAGCAACGTCTCTTCACAGTTCACATGGTGTATAAAACCACCCTCAAACCATTTCTCCACCTCCAAACTCAAACATCCAATACCACAAACCACCATTTATTTATTCATTTATTCATTCATTCAATCTAGAAATGAAGGTGAAGAAAGGGTCAAAATCGTCTTGGATCTCAAATTGTTTCAAGATTCATGAAGAACCAGTTCGGATGATTAGAGAACCTGAGATAGAGAAGAAAGTTGAACCGGAACCCATTAAGTCGCCTAATTCGGCTAAGAGGATCTCGTATACAGATATAAACAGTTCGACGTTATCAGAGGACCTATCGACTTCACTAGCTGGATCAAACCTCTACGTTTTTAACCTTGCAGAGCTTAAGGTCATTACACAGTCTTTTTCTTCATGCAATTTCTTGGGTGAAGGTGGGTTTGGACCGGTTCACAAAGGGTTCATAGATGACAAACTTAGACCCGGTCTGAAGGCTCAGCCGGTGGCTGTCAAGGTCTTGAACATAGACGGCGGACAAGGTCATAGAGAATGGCTGGTATGTATATATAACGTATACATACTCGTATTGGATACTGTATTTATTTATTAAAAATATATATTAAACATTATTTGCATCGACTTTACAGACAGAAGTTGTATTTCTTGGACAACTAAGACACCCACATCTCGTGAAATTGATTGGATACTGCTGTGAAGATGAACACCGAGTATTGGTGTATGAGTACATGGCACGTGGCAGCTTAGAAAATCAACTCTTTCGAAGTGAGTTTATAATATGAATACAAAGTTAATGAATTCATTCTATTATACCACATTAATTTTCAAGATATTTATTTCAAATCGGATTTACTTTACAGGATTTTCCGTCTCTCTTCCATGGTCAACTCGGATGAAGATTGCGCTACATGCCGCAAAGGGGCTTGCGTTTCTTCATGAAGCGAAAAACCCTGTTATATATCGTGATTTCAAAGCATCCAACATTTTGTTAGACTCTGTAAGTGCTTAATCAGTCTTTATTTATCTCGATTTTCGAGAGGTTTTTATGTTATTTCTAGTACTGAAACTTATTTTGAATTTTTAAGGACTACACTGCTAAACTTTCGGACTTTGGACTTGCAAAAGATGGTCCTGAAGGAGACGACACACATGTTTCAACTCGAGTTATGGGCACACATGGCTACGCAGCTCCTGAATATCTCATGACAGGTAACAATTCAAGTATACATGATGCAAATGTAATAGTACTTTTTTTTAGCTTTTCACTCATGACATTTTACTAATTTCATGTTGTTTTGCACTTTATATAGGACATTTAACAGCAGCAAGCGATGTGTATAGTTTTGGAGTTGTACTTGTTGAGCTTTTAACTGGCCGAAAGTCAATGGACAAGAGCCGGTCAAACCGTGAACAGAATCTTGCCGAGTGGGCTAGGCCTCAACTCAAGGGTGGTGCTCGGAAACTCAACAGAATAATGGACCCAAGGCTCGAGAGTCAATACTCGGAAACAGGAGCAGAAAAGGCAGCAGAATTGGCTTACCAGTGTCTTAGCCATAGGCCAAAGGCAAGGCCAACCATGAGTATGATTGTTAATGCTCTTGAACCACTAGCGGAGTATAACGAAATGGCAATTGGAACATTTGTGTACACGGCCCCTACTGAGAACAAGAAGTCACCGGTGGAGAGCCCGGAGAAGGAAGTACAGCATAAAGATGGCAAAATGGACAGCAATGGACACCACCACCACCACCACCGCCACCATCAACATGACCGAAAGCACCGGAGTAAATCTCCGGCCGTCCATTCTGAGACCGATTTACAGAGAGATCATATGATTTCAGGGGTGTAACAGAGAGTTAAACGACAATGGATAATGTTTGGAACATGCATAGGAACACAGGTGATGCATGAAAAGTTGTAAATGTACAGATTTCAAGCACACATCAATATTTTTTTCCTAGATCTTCGTCCTTATACAAATTTCACATTTATTTCTTGATCTCCGTGTTCATTTTTATTATAAGGATTTGAAAATACATTTTTTCGTATCAATGTGTTAAAATTACCATCTCCAACTCCGATACATGTTTTCACTATGCAATTTGAATTTAAGGTTGATGTATTGCTTTAAGTGAAGGAATTAACCGTCTAAAATACGTGCTTTATTAACTTGTAGTTTTTTTTTTTTTTTTTTTTTTTTTTTTTTTTTTTTTTTTTTGTAGTTATTCACTAAAATGATAAATATAAGCTAATGACCACGAAGCTGCAAATCTCTATCGCCAATTAGCATTATGTATTCTTTTTTTTTTCTTTCGTTTTTTTTACTAATAAGGGGTGTTTGGATAGGAAAAAAAAAGGATGCTTATTTATTCCCACCACAATAAGCTAAGTTTAAGTGTTTAGATAAGAATCTTTAAAAATTAGCTTATTGTGGTAGGATTAATCTAAATAAGCTGATTTTAATAAGCATCTCCCCCCTTGCTTATTGCTTATTCCCACCACAAATATTTTTGCAAAAATTGCTTATTCTCACTGCAATAAACTAATAAGCTAAAAACTAATTTATCTAAACACCCCCTAAGGATCACTAGTACTGAATAGCGACACACAAGTAATACATGTGCTAGGACCTCCCAGGTGCCCGAGAAAGGTAAAGGATCCACAAGCTTCGTTAACACCATCAAATTATGTGATTATATATTATAATATCATTGTTCCATACTAAATCCATTCGCGGATGTCGGCCAAGATCATCCAAAGTTTTATCGTAGTAGACAATTTTCCACATAAGATGCTCAATGTGTAAGACTTGGTGTGTCATTCATAGGTACCCGATTTAGGACTTTGAAAGTTGTGTAATGACATTCTAGAATGTCATCACTTGCATGAGTGGATTTACAACCCCTCAAGTGGTCTAGTGTGATGGCATAGTTGAAGTTTAAATTTGAACACGCATTGAAAGTATAGAGTATGTTATGTGCTTTCTATACACGAGCCTAATTTCAACCATCATTGTGATATTTGGAGCTAGAGATTGATTCGGGGTTTGAGTGTGAAACATATGCATTGCATTCATTTGAGATTGTTGACTTACTATTGGTAAGTTTGATGTTGTTTATCAATACTTATCTTTGAAATGTTTCCCCTAAATATTGAAATTATACAAATACTTTGATGTGTTGAAAACCTTTTAGGTGTTTGATTTTGGGTTTGTGTTGTTGATCTTATCTTATACCTATAAGAGTTGACTCTGGTGATGAACTGATGATCACTAGGTTTTTCAAGCCTAAGCTATGTATTTTGACATGTAGTCATATTTCAAGATTAAAAGAGGTGGAAGGTAGAAGAAGCATGGACATTTAGAAGATCTTTTGAATTGTAGATACTTTATACTTACCATATGCTTTGTATTGATTGCTACAACCGCACAACTAACAAACTGTGTTAAAACTTGTTTTAGGAACTTATCCGCAAGATAAAATCTTTTCATATGAAAAATCTTGTTTTAAAAAAAAATCTTATTTAAAAATAGCTTATGCAAGGGGCGTTTCACACTAGGACGGAAGAAAATAGTATTAACAATTTAATACGTGTAGGGTCCGGATCCGGTAAGAACTTAAAAATTGGTAGGAACCGCGATGATTATTTTCCACCAATCATTTGGTCAAGAACACAAACGTCAAACCCATTTACTTGGTCGTGACTGTAACATCCCAATTTTCAAGACCAAAAATTTCGATTTTAATTAAGTAATTTATAAAACCATTTACTGAAAAACGACATCAATATCATATCAAACTCATAACCCATAAGTCAAATGTCATAAAAACATGTCATGGAATAATTATAATGTCAGAGAACAATCCCAAGGACATCATAGTGCGGAAATCGGGTGTGTGTGCGATGCGCTGCTACCGTGTCGGCTCCTTCTCCTTCGATGAAGAGGTACCTGAAAACAAAACTGTAAACTGTAAGCATAAAGTTTAGTGAGTTCCCCCATCATACCACATACCAAAAACATATACTGCCTATCCCTCGATATCTTTCAACCGGTATCTGACTGGCATAATCGGAAGCTGGACTCCCCTTCGGTATCTTCCAACCGGTAGCCGGGAGCTGACCTCCCCTTCGGTATCTTTCAACCGGTAACCGGGGACTATTTCACCCCTACCACTACCACATAAGAACATATCATAAACATACTACTAGACATGTGTGGGTTCTGACGACCCCTTCGGTATCTTTCAACCGGTAACCGGGACTAATCCCCCTACTACCATTATCACATATATCATATCATGCTAATCACATAAACATATCAAGTAGTAGAAAACATAGATAATTTGTAACATCCTAAAAATACAGTCTGAAAATTTCATTTTAAATCAGTAATAAAACCATATTCATCAAACGTGATATAAGAATCATAAACAATGTATCTCAAAATATCATAACAACTGTCAAATATATCAGAGTATAAACATCCCAGGCTGAACAAATGGTGTGTGTACTGCAATCTTCCCGAGATCCTCTTTTGAAAACTGAGTTCCTGAAACCAAACTGAAAACCATAAGCACGAAGCTTAGTGAGCTCCCCCAAACTACCACATACCAAACAATAACATATAAAGCAACTACTGGGCCTTGCCCACTGCATCGGACCGAAGTCCGGAAACTGCATCGGACCGAAGTTCGGAACTAACCAGGGCCTTGCCCTCTACATCAGACCGAAGTCCGGAACTAACCAGGGCCTTGCCATCTGCATCGGACCGAAGTCCGGAAACTGCATCAGACCGAAGTCTAGAACTAACCAGGGCCTTGCCCTCTGCATCAGACCGAAGTCCGGAACTAACTGAACATAGCATAGCATAATCATAACTACTAGCATAAACACATATACTGCATACTGCATCGGACCGAAGTCCGGAACACATAACACAAAGACATGCTTGAATCACAAAGACATCAAGCACACTGAACTACTGCATCGGACCGAAGTCCGGAACTACTGCTGACTAAACGGGCCGGCATTGTGGCCGTAGACCCGTTCCTACTGGAAGGAAAACTCACCTCACACTGCTGAAGTCCCGTAGACACAATCCCACACTGCTGAAGTCCCGCAGACTCAACCCCAGCTGCTGGATGACAGATTCCCCGAACTGTCAACACCAAAATAACACCCAATTACTAATTGGGGTCTAACACATAACTATAAATGCATACTTTGGATAATTACTATATTACCCCTAGCTTGACTTACCCAAGCCCAAGGCCCAATCCATAGGCCCAAAGTCAACTAGGGATCAAAGCCCAACATATGGCCCAATTTTCCAAATTGGGCCCAAACCTCTACATGGACTTCCCTTAAGGCCCAATTAATCAGTCCAGTCCAACATGTCTCATTCTAGGGGCCCAATATCAATACAACCATCTAGGCCCTAACTATGGCCCAATTTTCCAAATTGGGCCCAATCCTTCATATGGGCCTTATCCTAAAGCCCAACTAATTACTCTAGTCTATTTGCTTGTTCTTGGATGGCCCAACACAAAGCCCAAGTGAAATTAGGGTTTCACATAAAATGATGATTAGGGTTAAGTGTTTCTTACTTAACCCATTAAGGACTTAATCCATTAAGTCCTTTACTCTACTAGATAAATGATATGGAGAAATTAGGCTTAATACACAATCCAATCTCAATAGCCCAAAAGTGGGTCTAATAAGTCCAAGGCCTAACTACTCACAATTAGGGTTTTCTAAACCCTAATTAGGGTTTTCACCCACACATGGCCCAATAAGCCCAAAACTAATCCTTAAGCCCATTAGGGTTTTGCTAGGTCCATTAGGGTTTTGCTAGTGGGGCACCACCCACTACCACCTCGGGTAGTGGTGGAGAATGGCGGCTCACGGCGGCGGCCACCACCTTACGGTGGTGGTTATTTTTATTTTTATTATCCAATACTAATTACAGTTACAAGGTTTTATCCAAAATAGCACACACACACGCTCACTAACACACACTAACTAACACACACACAGCCACACCATGGTGGCCGGCGGTGGCGCTTGGTGGCAGCCACCACCCTATGGTGGTGGTGATGCCGTTTCTGGGAACTCTAGCTATACACACCCATACACACTAACTGAAATACGCACGTCTTCACTTCTTTGCTCGGAAAAAAGGAAACCAACCACCCTCCTAGCGGCGTACGGTGGCGGTGGTGACACAAGGCGACGGCAGCGACGACTTCTTGTGGTGACAGCCACCACCGTGAGGTGGTGGCGGTTCTCTTGTTGGTTCTCCGTAAAGCAGCGACACAACACACGAGGATACAACCCATGACCGGGAACGAACTGACTTCAACGGAAACAGCAACAACAATGTCATCGGCGGTGATGGCGGTGGTGGGTGAGACCCCATTCATGGCAGCGAACGAAGGGGAAAATAAGGAGAAGAGTGGAGGTCCCGCCGATCATGCTCCAACATAGTCATTCACAGCCTCCTTCGTGGGTCTCGGTGACTCTCCCGACTGCCCATGCCATCTCCGGCCGGCAGCAACGTTGAGGTGGCGTTCAATGGCGAGGGTGGCTTCGTCCGATCGGGACAGCAACGAAGAAGGTGGATGGCTGGTGGTTGTTGGCGGTCTCCGACGATTGGCGACCTCATCGGAGATGGTTGCAACTTGAACAGCAAAGGGAAATGGCACCGAAGATCGGAGGAGAGGGGGGGGGGGGGCTGGATGGTAAGGTGACGGCTGCACCTCTCATTCCTAGGGTTAGGGTTACATTAAGCTATATACTCGATCCCTCAAAACATTATGCCATAATAACAATATCAGTCCCTCCCCCTTCCCTTTTCTTTCAAATTCAATCCCATTATTACCAAATGAACCCTCAGCATTAAATCGTTTATATTTTATGTACGAAAATTAGCAAACAGCCCCTATCTTCCATAATCTCTTCAAATGAAGTCCCATAAATTACCATTTACTCCCTGCCTTCATAAATACTT